TTTCTGGTTATGCAATCTTCTTGCCAAAAGCCAGTCAATTGATAGTTCTGTTCTCCTTATTCACCAATAAATTCCGTGGTAATCTATGTACGGTTACAATAAATAGATTACCACGGAATGAATTATGTGGCTCATAAATTGTAATTGCTTTATTATGCTTACTTGCTTACATTTTATTATGCTTGAAATGAAATTCAAAAATTTATCATGCGATTTGTAATACCCGTAAGAATAAAGCACAAGCCGAATTGTTGCCGAAAGCACAAATTGTTAGTTCATCGTCGATACAATTCTCGCAGCGAATGTTCAACTTGGGAGAAATCTGAAAGAAACTTTAATATAACTAAATAAAGAACATGGATTTTTATTTTAATAGAGTTTTAAGAAATTCTCTAGTCACAATTATTTACCACCAAAATTAACAAATCAAATAAAACCAAACCTTTCATTTCTTCCAGCGGCTCAACCATTTCGAGTTCTTTTTGCGCGTTTTCCGGATCCGAATTATGGGCAACATTTCTGACGTCCGAAATAGAAAAACGCTGTCGTAGAGTTAAATCTAAATTTTGGAATTCAATGAAATAAATTTAAATTTCTTTAATAGATTTATGAAACCAAAAATTGTCAACAAACCTTTTTCATGAGCCAACGGGAAGAGTTTACTCGATCCAAGGACAGCTCTCGCATCGCCGATCACTTTTAGAGCCACAACCGGTCCACTAAAATAAAAACAAAATAAAGCTATAAAAAGAAATTGGTTATTGGGTACCTTGAAATGTGTCTAACCAATCGGCCATAGTAGAAGCGTCCTCGGTGCATTTGGTAGAGGTTCTCGGCCTGGGATCGATCCAAACGAAGCGGTCGAATCGAGAGAATCCGCAGTCCCGACGAGAGCAATTCATCGAACACAATCTGAATAGATAAAAATTAGAAACAGAATTTGATATCCGTTTAAAAGTTGCATCAATTAATTTGGTAGAAGCTTTACAAAAAACTCTAATCTCTAATCTCTAATCTCTCCTCTACTCTACTCTACTCTACTCTACTCTAATCGCTTCGAAACTTTATTAAATATCCGCAGTACCAGCGTTAATTTATAGCTTTTTTTTAAAAATAACCCACTTATTAAAGAGTATAAACAAAATAAGCAAACCCTGAGCAGAAAAGGATGGAGGCGACATCCGGCCCGAGGAGGAGCAGTGATGGGCGGAGGACATCTGGAAAATAAAACAAGTGTGTGAAGCCCGTTGGATTTAATTCTAAGAACGGCCAGAAATAATTTTTGAAGATGCGAAACAAATTAACCTATAGTAGGACGGCTGTAATAGCGCCTGCCCCCCCCGGAGCGTCACGGCGCTTCAGTTTGCTCACAAACCACCTGCTTTTATCTCGGCGCCTAGAACATTTGGCACAAAGCGCTTAGGTATCAGATAACGTAAAGGGGATGGGTGATTTTTAGCGAGGGCGCCACAACACATATTTGCTGGCGGTAACCAGTGCTTAAAGGCAAAATGGTTGAAGTGGCAAAAAAGGTCGATTTTCATCCCGTACCAATCTGTTTTGTTCTAAGCGCACAGTTTGTTGCTAAAAATATGTGTCCCGCTTAAAAGTCTGGCCGTTCTCTTTACCATACTAATTTTGATACCTGGAGAGCCCACGACAATGCCTCACCCGAGATTTCCGGGGGCCACCCCGCTCCTATTAGAGGCTACTCTCCAGCTTTCCCGTCAAGATAGCCACAAGTCTCAAGTAGAGAGTTGAAGTAAATGGGCGAGGGAGAAGTCGTTTTGCGCTATTGGAAAAGAGTTCGTAAAATGCAAACGTGGGTAGCGCTGGAATACCAATTTCCAAATAACTCCGTACAAACTTCCACAAAATTGTCGTTTTAGTTTGATTTTACATGCTAAGTACCAACTTTAGAAATTTCTTAGACTTATTTAAAGGGCAAATAAAGTGAAGTTTATTGTTTAGGAAGCTTCCCCACCGTAACCTGTTTCAACTTTGTAGTTTACAATTAATGAGGGGAGCAGAAGACGGGGAATTAACTTGCCCTCAGCCGATCGAGAGTTCTCTTTTTACAATCTGGCACTTTCCCCACAGCGCCGCGGGGTTTCCCCACTGCCCGTGCCTAGCCCGTGATGCGCGATCGGGAAGTGACCTGCCATCGTGTTTTTTTAGAAGGGCCGGAAACCCCGTGACACGCATGAGGGCCGCCTCCTGTTAATCAGTCTAAATAAGGTGCAGGGGAGGGAAATCCCACGTTATAGAGAGGAAAAGTACCCAATTCATTGAGACTTTGACCGGCCTAAATAACAAGGAGTAGTGATGATTTAAGATCAACCTCCAATTCGTCAGATTTCCGCGTAAATATTGATTGAATTTGTGCCGAAGACGATCACCATTCCCCATGAAAACGTAGTAGAACAAATTGATATCAAGAAAAGTTGTCATCCCCAAACCAAGATCTTCCTGATCCATAAAACATTAAGAAACTTTACCTGAAATCCGTAAGGAGCAGTCTTCTGCACAGGAAGTCGTCATCAGAGCTGACGATTGCTTTGTTCAATCGAGAGAGGTGAGACATGACTATTCCCTTCAGAGCGTCACCTTATTGAAGTTCGGGGACCAACAAAGTTGGCGACTGCATGGTAACAAAAAGGAAATGGGTCGACTATTAGTGGCGCAACATTCGATCGGATCTTTGAGGTGGTATAACTAAATAAATGGTCTTAAATGTCAAAATGGAAGTCACCATTACCAAACTTGTAAAGTTATAACAGGAGATTTGGATGTGTATGTGCAAAGCGAAACAAACAGTTACAAGTTATCAAAAGAAAACACAAACTCCATAAGCACGAATGGCGCTCGGTATCATTCTCTTTGGCGATCCAGTAGTCATCAAGATCAGCAGCGCCGTGTTCGTTTCGTTGCGGGCGACACTTTCAACGACGAGCTGGATCGATCCCAATCAGCTTGCAGGTTCTTCCATCGTAGTGATAAGTCGATGCGTAGCTTGAGTAGTCTTTGGATCAGGAGAGCGGTAGTGTCGCGAGGCATAAGCAAGCGGCTACCCCTTTTGCCCTAACAGAACTTCAAGGTTAGATAAACTCAAATGTGACAAACCAAATCCAGTCCACCACTTCCGAATATCATTTCAGCAACACTTGGATCTTTTGTTTCCATGGGAGAAAGCGGCTAGCCATTCATTTTTGTGGCCCGATTCATTAGTCACCTAGGTAATTAAAGTCAGCCATACAATCTTGGATCTTTTCATTTGGTTTCCATTCGAAGCTTAACCACTACAAGTAGCGCCTTTTGTCTCGTATATATACTTTATCCATCAAATAGTGATCAATGAAGCCGACTTTGGGAGAATAATTGAAGGAGGTTAGAAGCTTTGCAAAATACCGAAGTGCAAAAATTGCACAATCTCACAGATCAAAAGAGTTTCTACCTAACTCGGGAAGGACCCTAGATTCCATATGGACGATGGCGTCATTTTTCTTGCGTATAATCCGTAATCATCAAGGCCAGCAAGACCGTGTTTGAGACTTAGGGCTGACAATTTCACGTTGGAAATGGATCGACACGAGCCTGAAGCAAAATTAATATTTCCAACAAATCAGTTCACTTATTGACTATATTAAAGTCAGTAACAAATCCCACCTGCACCAATCAGCTTGTAGTTTTTCCATTTGTGTTCGTAAGGAGATGCACTAATAAGCGCAGTCTTTGGATCAGGAGTGCAGTAAATGCCCTATCCAAAAGTAAAGCGATTTCCTTTCCCCCTAGAAGATATTTTGTAAAAATGGATCCACGATTACCCACTAATTATTCAAAAGCCAAAATAACAAACCAAATCGAGTCCACCACTACCCGTTTCCAATTTCAGCAGCACGCCTTGGATCCGTTGTTCCATGATAAGCAACTGGCCATTCTCGCCATCAATAGAGCCCGTTCGCACTTTGGCTTAAACCTGTGTTAACAAAAATAATACAAGGAAAATTACCGCCCCAGCGTATCCGGGCCAGGTATTGTCCCATTTTTGTCGGACTCGAGAGCATAACGCATTGACCCAGAGTGGGGCGAAGTAGCTTAGTAGGCTCCACCCCGAAGGGCATGTTTGCTGATCCCAATCAAAATCTTCGTGAAGTCGTAATGAAACTTTTTCGGCAAGGAAATTCCGAAGTTGCATTTTGTAAGCGCTGCATCTTCCTTCTCGACGTGTCGGAATCAAGCGACAAGAACAGCATCATGACAGCAAGCTTTTGTATCTTAAGGATTAAAAGTAAACACTTTGCTAGAAAATTGGCTGTAGAAACAAGCTGGGTATTTAAGCAGCCCCTTACTCAGACGTTTTAACTTTCGAATTGTTGTTTTATCAAAAAAAAGTTTGTGTAATTGAAAAACTGACCTTACCCTTTTCAACCGTTTTCTGGATCGTATTCACATTGAAAAAGAGGTCGCGTGGTTTGACAACCTTTTCAGAATCCCCGTCGTGATCTGAACCGAAACCGAGATCTGAATCGAAAGTCCCATTGTTGAGGAAGAGACATGTGCCAGTTAATACCAACAGGGAGAGCTTTATCTAAACAAAGAAATTTAGTCAACAAAACATGAAATAAATCCACCATTGATAAGAAGGGACGACATATTGAAACCAGTCACCGATTCCGAGAAGGTAGATCACTGAAAGAAAATCAGTTGAGATTTCTGTTCGATAGCATTCAAAGCATAAAAAGAAGTCTGCTAACAATTCAAAGGGTCCATCAAGAATTTGGAATATAATTGTTCAAATACCTTTTCCACACCACCTAAAAACTTTCTCAAAGCGCTTATTTGGATTGCCACCTCCGTAAATTCCAATTAGTTAAAGATTAAATCGAACAATCATTAAACTATGAAACAACTATGAAACAATTGGATATGCTTCTCGATTTCGGAAGTGGAAGCTAACGAACAAGAAACAAATTATAGCGGAGCTGTAGTAGGACACAAACCGAGAAACGAATCTTAAAAATACGATGCAAACGTCATCTAGGAGCTATTCATAACGTGCCAGCGTTGACATCGTAGTGTTGATAAGCAATCCGCGCGAATTTCTCCAGGATGGGACAAGGGAGTCGCTACTTTTGCGCCAAATTTGTTGCGCAACTAGGTCCTTTAGCGCAACTCGCCACAACTGTCTTCTAAGCCAATCTTTATGATTTTTGGTTGGTGTCATTTCGTTACGCTTATTGAGATCTACAAAATGACACCAAAATCATAAAGATTGGCCCTAGAAGCGAGTTATGGCGAGTGGCGCAAAGTAGCCACCCCGTGAAATTGTCTATGGCAAGCTAAAAACGCTAGTGCAACACATAAATTTGAAAACATTGCTTCGGTATTTGGAGAATGAAATGACAAATGATTCGGACGAAAATTTCCTGTACAACTCAAAATATTCAATTGAACAATTGCTTCCCGATAAAAATTTGACCGGATTTATACTTGCAACTTCAACTGAATATTCGAAAAAGCTGTCTATTTAAAGAAGCCACGTTTTGGAAAACTTTCAAATTTCTTTTGTTGTAGTTTCACTGTGCAATGTGTCAGTTTCTAACTGTTAAAACCTTTTCAAATCTTTATTTTCTTTGAAATGTCGTCTTGGGTCGTCAAACGTCGAGCAAAAAAGAACTAGAAAAATTGAAGGTGAACCTACTTATCCAAAAGGACTAGCAGAATTCAAGAGCATATGAAAAACTTACCTGGTGATTCACAGTGAAAGTGTTAGAATTTTTCGGCCATTCAGCGGTCTAAAAATGGTCTCTCAAAACATT